AGCTTGTCTGGATTGGCCACTTCGATTTTTGATCATTCCCCTGTTAGAACGAAGAATAGCACCTTGTTTTTTGGTTTTTTTATTCAGTTCACGTCTGAGATTGAGAATTTTAGGTGGTTTTGGCGCCGATCTCTTCACTCAGATCTTTGGGGATGACGACGATTCTCCATTTGGCAGCTTCTTTGGAATGGGCGGCGGTGGAAGACGGTAATAAAGTCGATTTCTTATGTTGTTGCTATTGTGTATCTCGTTTCTTCCAGCAGGGCTCGCCGGAAATTCCAAGACACGGTGTATCCGCTGAATGTCACGCTTGAAGAAGTATACAATGGAAAGACAGCTAAATTGCGATTATCTAAAAAAGCTCTGTGTACAAAGTGTAAAGGGTGAGCCATTATATTTTTTGAATTTACTTCCAGAATAGCTAATTTTTTCAAAGTTCGACTGATTCTGCATAGTATCCTCAGCTTTCACTGTTATATACTTCAGAAGTGGCGGTAAAACTGGTCAGTCATACGAGTGTCATTCATGCCGCGGTCGTGGAGTCAAGAATGTTGTGCAACAAATTGGTCCAGGAATGATTCAACAAATGCAAGTCAGATGTCCTGATTGCCGCGGCGAAGGCGAGTATCAATTTTGCAACAGTCTGTTATTGAAGTAAGGGATAAGTGGTGGTGCATTCATAACAACCGTTTTCAATCGGCGTTTACTTTATATACTCATTGTTTTTTAGGTACTAGAATCCCAGAATCCGACAGGTGCTCTCATTGCAAAGGAGAGAAAAGCGAGGAAGTGAAGAAGATACTTGAGGTATTGATCATTTCCAACATGTATTATTGTCCTTATCGTTTATTGCACCTAGGTTCACGTAGAACCAGGAATGAAACACAATGACAAGGTCACATTCCCTCGCGAAGGAGATCAGTCTGACGTGAGTGGTCTTATGCCTCCCAAAAATTCCGAATTTTTGATAGCTTGTCATTTCTTTTCAGCCAGACATTGAACCGGGTGATGTTGTTATTGTTATACAAGTGAAACCACATGACGTATTTGAAAGGGAGGGCGATGATCTCATTGCGAAAAAGTAAGTTATGGTTATGTTTTTAGGCGAAAATCTTGGATCATGACATCCTCATTTCTGAATTGGTGTTTAATTTCCGAAAAGTAGACTGTGTTCTTCGAGCACGATTTTTTTTT